ATGAGTATATTTATCAAATAAATTTGAAGGTAATGGTTTAGGTAATTGAAACCAATCGATTCTATGCATTTGAAAATCAATAATTATTTATTAAAAACATACAAAAACAAACAACAATCTTACTCGGATGTTTCTTTATTCATCATTTGATTCTATATTGTCTTTGTTTGTTGGCAAGATTATATAAAAACTATACACCAATGATGATTCGATACGCATACAACAACTGAAACCATCACTCATAGATGTCGTTTGAAGTGGAAATAATTTAAACAAGAACAAAAAATCTGAATGATGATATGCATGCATATTCCATATGCTAATAAGAAGAAGAAATGACTCTAAAGTGTCGCTATATACAAATATTCAAATTAACTCGAAAAAATTTCAATTCTATGTGCTTAAAAAAAGAAACAATCAAATAGTCTTCAGTTTAAACAGCATTTTCTTATGTACTATGATCTAACAGTCGATGCCCATAGTAGCAATATTGAATAAAATATCAAAATGTTGATGTTTTGAACAAGAATTGTATTAATGTAGTCCGTCGCATACGCATTGAACATCTTTACTAGATAATTTCGAATTTGTGACGCGATGATCCTAAGGTCTGAGAACGCCTAAAAACTGTTTCGGATTCGGATAAAAATCTTGACGTACGAAGATGATAAAATCGGTATCCGATCTGCAATCAAGGTTTTTGTTGGGATGAAATGTGCTCCGAGAATAAAAATGTTCAAGTTGAAGACTTCTTTATTTTTTTGTTTCACGATAATTGGAAGAGAGCAACCTTCAGCCCATTGAGTATACAAGGCACTTGATAAAAACTTTTTTTTTGTGCATTCAATGTATCGATTTCTGCAATCGCCAAACCCAAAACTTTAGCGTTCAATACCCTTTCTTTTCTGTAGTTAATCAATATCGTCTTTTTACTACTATCATATGGTTAGGAGGACAAAGCAGACAAACATACCCTGCAAAAATTGTGCTTGTTTTCATCTCAACTAATAATTTCAATTTTTTTAAAGTCAAAGTAAAGAGTAGAGAATTAAAAACTGAACAAAATGAGCGATGTCAACATAATAAAATATTGATCGACTCAAGTTTTATAAGAGTAACATGAATGAAAAATCACTCGTTCGATAACAATCTATCGCCTAGTAGGATTCAGAATCAAACAGCTGCAAGCTAAATGTTATATATATATATCTTATACAAACTTTTGTTTCCTACAAAAGCATTAAAAAAATATACGGAAATAGATGGTATTTTCCGAACGCAACGGAGATCACAGTTCTCTTCTCACCTGCCATGTCGCATTGTAAAGCAAAATAAATACAACATGCTGAATCAGCATGAATAATTACATTGGATGAAATATATTTTAAAGAATGTTTTCAAATGAATAACTCATCTGTGGTCCACCATCACTATGTTTTATTAAAATTTTTCTGCATGATTCTTCAGTAGTCATTTTTTCACAGAAAAAGAATTTTGCTAAAAAGTGTTTCACTCAACTTGGTTTTTGATGTTAATTCCGAATATCATATTTATTTTGCGTTGCAATGGCGATATGGTAATTTAGGAGAGAGCTGTCAACTGTATTGCATAACATATATAATATTCATCTTTCTCCTATCTGATTCTGAATTCTGTAGAGAATAGATTGTTACTAAATGGACGTTTTGGGTTCATCGAAAGAGTCATTTTTCATTCATGTAAACCTTATAGAACGTTAATCAGACAACATCGTGTCACATTGGAAAAGCTAATTTTGCTCCGTTTTTAATTCTCTATCTTTTTGTGTAATTTGTAAAAAGAATTTGAATGAGTTACTAAGACGAAAACAAGCACAACTTTTACACAGGATTTTTTGTTAGTATTACAAATGCTCTCTTACAATGAAAACAGCATAACAAGATGGTCATCACTTTCTGAAACAACTGGTGTTGTTCATTACACGATCTACTGTTCGTTGCTTAGAGTTTACTACTGTTTGAATATTTTGAAGAAAAGAAATAAACTAATGAATAGCAAGGATGAGTTTCTTCCTGATACTCGCATCTCATTTTTTTCCTAGCGTACACTAATTCTCAGTACTGCTTTTTTTTTCTTCGTTGAAATAATTAACCGAAATTAAATCGTCCAAAAAAGAAAACAATATTCGAATGTAATAGTATTTATTAAATTTTCGATTACTGATGGAGCATCAACAACATATGAGTACAGAGAAAATGTTGATCATCTAAGATGTAATGATGGATTCGTTTACAAATGGTTAAAATGATATAAAAATAGTCTTGATTATTCTACTTCATTCAGTATTGGTCTTAATCTAAGTCTTCAATTTAAGGATATAACTGTATCTCAACGTTTCAGTGAATCTAGCTCCATAGATTTGATCCAATATCTAGTTCGATTATACGTCTGTAAAAACTAATAGAAATTATCACATTATAATAAATGATCAATAATTATTTTCTAGAAGGCATCTTCTTTTCATGAGATAATTCTTAGAACACATCGATGCAGGTTAATTCGAAAGATCATAGCTGATTAATGCGTTACTTTATTGATGAATAACACATTGTTTAGATTTATATTTGAATATGAAATTTTATTTAGAAAATTGTAAATAGCATGTCACCAATTCTGTTTTTTGTTCTGTCTCATGGTCTATCCTATTCATCAAATGTTTTTCAAAAAAAAAATGAAATTTATTCATATATTTATCGATTTGATTAATTAAACAAAATATTATACCACTGAGAATAATCCGAAACTAGTCACAATAGCACTTTATTTCTGTATAGAAATTCTAAGGAAATTTTTTCATTATATATAATAATATTAAACACAATGCTTTATTTTTCTGTGACATTTTATCATATTTTATTATAACACAGTTTCGATAACAGCTGTTTGCTATGATATATGATGATAAAGTCAGATCATATTGTCATCGATATACATTTCCCTTTGCCCTTCTCTTTATGGGTGTTAGTATTCTCTTCTGCCATATCGACATTCCACACCCATTCTTAGCTAACCGACCTAGAATAGATAAAAACGCTGTCTATACGAAAAACATAGTTATATCTATGGTAATTTTTGATAGAAGAAATACTAGCGTCAATGAAATTGTGCTTGATTCACCTTCTTCACATCATCAATCACGTCATTTACATATAGAATACACGTTCATATAGGCAACCAGAGAGGAGAGAGAGATAACAGAAAGCAAAGGAATGATATTTATATTGGTGCTGCCATAATGTCTTTTCCTTATAGACTATGTTAATATCATTAGTTGTATGTTCCATCCAACGCAGAACTCTGGTATCGATATAACGAATGATGAAAGTATGAATAATTAGGTCATGTTGATTCATGATTTTTGCCTTCCCTTGGAAAGGGGAGATTCTCTTCTTCTATGTGTCAACAAACATAAGTGGAAGAAACCCAAGTTATATCATTCGAACGATATATATACGTTATTGACTAAGAACAAACTGCAGTCGAATAAAATCATGTTACTTTGATAGTAAGTAGACTATCCTACTCGTTATGTTGTGATGCTATGAAAGAAAATATCCAAGAGTAACAAATATAATAATAGCTAGCATGAACATGTTACTAAAGCGAATATGTAAAGTCATGACTGATGAGTTAAACTAATGGATGGGTAAAGAATACTCATCTAAAAATGAAGAGAAATAAATTGAATTAAGGTTATACTTGTTTATCAATTTTATTTAATAGATTCCCAAGAAGAATTCTAGTTTTTCAAAAATGAAATAAAACTTTTATCATAGATCAATACGCGAAAGTTGCATCGATCGGAATTGACAGCAGCATTTTATGTTTTCTAACTTTTACAAAACTTTTAGTACATGTCCGCTGCTAAGTGTTCATGTTTCTTCTGCACCGAAATGTATTCATTTCGGGTATTATATTCATATGACTGACTGCGTACCAACATTTTCAAGATCTTTTTTAGAACATTATTTGGGATGAGTTTTCTGGGCATAGCAGTAGATACCAGTGGTTCTACATTAGCGTCAACCAGTTTGAGTGAATGCTAGCATCCAGATGTACTTTTGTTTTTTTATTATGGATACTTGCAACTCGTTCTATATTACTGCACACAGTCACGAATATTCAGCCGATTCAGAATTGAGAGTTCAAAACTAACAAGTGGATAATATTAGAGCATCATATATGAGGTGTATTGATTCAATTGTTACTTGACTTAAGAAGAAACCTCTTTCAATAGTCCCTTCTGATTTTAACACTTTTTTTGTTAATAGTTACTATATAGTATTTTAGTAAAAACTCTAAAATAATTTGGTTTCCTACAAGTGCTTTCAAAAGTTATGCATTTTTTTTGTCAGTTTTTTAGCTTATTCTATTGACACACCAAAAGATGGAAATAATCAAATTTCAACCCGTATTTTTGTACATAGATAGGGCTACTCGAAACTGTAATTCATTAAAATTGTCAGACGAAAAAACTATCTATTCTTATCGAGATATTGATTTTAAAGAAGTGTCAATTTTGCTCATGCTTCTAATAAAAATGGCATATTCATTCAGAATTCAGTATCTGCACAAGAATGCATTCATTTTTGTTTGAAAATTGTTGAAGTGCTCTAGTATAGGATCAATCTATTCATCGACAAAAATGCAAGTCGAAATTCGGTTACTTCATCTTGTTTGGAAAGCAAATAGGATAAGTTAAAAGTCCAGAACGATGGTCATAACTTTTGAAAAAAAATCCTAGAAATCCAAATAATTTTAGAATTTTTTACAATTGTATTAAATGGTATCTATAGGCAAAAAAATCATCGAAATCGTAGAAGAATATCTGATGAATCTTCCATGTTAGCGGGTTTTTAGTTAAAATTCTTTTACAATTGATAGGTTTGAATTTCAAGTGGCTTAAAACTCAACGAAAAAGTGATCAATTAGTTAATAGCATCGTATTTCTAGTCATCAAAATGAATATCTGGTTCATTATCTTTATATGTACTATTCCCACGATACTTTCAGCACGTATTTTTCGTATAAACAATCAATGCGATCAAAAATTATGGTTCGGTACACAAGGTAAACCTTTGATTTATTCTGGTGGATTCGAAGTCAATGCTCGTTCGACAAAAGATATTAGTGTACCGGACGGATGGGTAAGAGGATACACTTGATCATAGTTTACCGCTTTTGAGTAGATCTTATTTAACGAACCACTATTTTTCAGGTAAGCGGACGTATTTGGCCAAGAACGAATTGTCGATCTGTTAATGGCAAATTCACATGCAGTACAGGTTAGTTATTGAGGTAAAACTCGTGTTCGAAAACAAAAAATATTCATGTAGGAGACTGCGGTGCACCAACGAACGGATACGGTATGGCATGCAATGGAATAGGTGGTCAGCCACCAGCCACACTTGCTGAGTTTACTCTAAATGGATGGGGCGGTTCAGATTTCTATGATTTGTCGAATGTCGATGGTAATACAATAAGCATGACGATTCGACCTATTCCTGGTCAGTACACTCGTGTCAATAACCCATCTTTAGGAAAGTACAATTGTGGCACGGTAAGCTATTTGATGAATTCAACAACGAAAAAAACATTCTCTAGAATTTCGATATCTTAGAAGATTTGATCATAACAGTATTATTACAATCGATGAGCACATCACTTTTTTTTATTCGATCATTGTTAATGACAGATAAGAGTTTCAGACATGAGATTAGCGACTGTTTTTTCTCAAAGATATAGCAAGAATGAATTTTAACATGGTTAAGAAGAAGTACCTCAATCGATGAAAACTATGAGATTGAAAACATCACAGAATCGTAATTATACTTTAATCAGTACAAACACTTTATCGTTAATTGTATTTTTTATATTTATTCATTGTCTCGTTTAGGCAACGTGTATATTTGATCCAAATCGATGTCCTCCAGAATTACAAATGGACGATGGAACTGGACGTAAAATATGTGCCAGTATCTGTGCTGCTATTCACAATGCCCAACAACGAGCACGACATGTTCATCTTCAAAAGATTTACAATAATCCAGATACGCGTTCGTTGGTTTGTTGTTCGTGTGATGGGAACTATTGCGTATGTAAAACTCATAGTTCAACAATAAGTCTATATTGATCTCTTGAGTGTAGGTATCACCACATGATAAGGTAACACCAGGTCGTAAATGCTATGTGGAAAAGTGGCCACGTTCGACACAAAATACACGTTACGATGAAGTTTTTAAATCTCAATGTCCAGATGCCTATTCATGGCAATTCGATGATTTAGCTAGTAAGAATATGTGCATATGACTGGAATTCTATTCACATTGTATTATTTTCTATAGGTACATATCAATGTTCAAAAGCAAATTATGAAATTATTCTCTGTCCTGACAGTAATCCAGTGAAATCAGGAGAACCTGGTTCGAACATTCAGTGGAACGGAAAAAACTGGGCGATGTCATGTGATTTTCGTGGAAACGATCTGACTAACGTTCAAATTTCATTACATCTTTGTAGTAGAAAATGTGCTGAAATTCAAGGATGCACTCACTTTACATGGACTCGATACAAAGGTGGTACTTGTTGGATGAAAACTGGTACTGTTTCCAAAAAGGATGCCTTGACAACCAATGATCAAACTATGATGTGTGGTGTAATGAATGAGGAGCAAGAAAAGAACAAAGGCTCAACCATCCAGTGGAACGGAAAGAACTGGGCCATGGCATGTGATTTCCATGGAAAAGATCTGTCTAAAGTCCAAACTACAGCTGAACTTTGTGGAAGAAAGTGTGTTGAAACTCAAGGATGCACTCACTTTACATGGACTCGACACAACGGTGGCACTTGTTCGATGAAAACTGGTGCTGTTTGTCAAAAGGATGCCTTCGCAACCAACGATCCAACTATGGTATGTGGTATAAGGGATGATGGCCAAGAAAAGAACAGAAACTTAACCATTCAGTGGAACGGAAAGAATTGGGCGATGTCGTGTGATTTCCGTAGAAATGATCTCTCTTACGTCCAAACTTCAAGGGAATTTTGTGGTAAAAAATGCGCTGAAACTCCAGGATGTACTCACTTTACATGGACTCGATATAAAGGTGGTACTTGTTGGATGAAAACTGGTGCTGTTTCGAAGAATGATGCCTTTGCAACCAATGATCCAACTATGATGTGTGGTGTATTAACCCATGCGTAAAACGTCTTGACACGAAACTTTTTCTAGTATTCTATTCTCTTACGTTGTCTATTTTTAATCTTACATATTCAATATAAGTACTTAATCTCGCTGTTCGGTACAAAAGGCCACATTCTAACACAGAGTCTTGGGATATAGCCACTTTTGGAGGGCCTTGCTATTGAACACAAAACTTTTAAATTCATATAAAATTATAAACATCGTATTCGACAGGTTTGACAATATAATTTAATCCTCATCGTTGGCTATGCAATGAGACAGCTAATTATGCCTAAAATTTATATCCTTGAGAATGTCCTTTCAATCTATGTTTGTGCTTTCGATCCAACAGAAGGTTATTAAGAAAGGACAAATGACTCAGCAAAAATTATGAAAAGATTTTTCATATATGTACATGCACTCTAATACCTGATTTTTATTTTAAGTTAATGCGACAACAGCTTCACTCGATGAGCCCGTTGCGATAGTTAACGTTAATTACAAAAATCATCAAAAGACTGGAAGGCTCGTTACTGTGCATATTTTCAACATGGAAAATAGAACGAAGGAAGACACATGGACAGATTTGAATGGAGATTTTCTTCATTAACAACTTTGAAGGCACTTATTAATCAATGTCACTTTAGGAGAAAGCTTCACAGAAATAAATATGAAAAAAATTCATCAAACTATTCATAAAAGAATATGAAGAAAACAAAATAGTATTGCAAGTTATCCAAAAATTTAATGAAATTTATTCGAGCAAACGAGCCGTATGATATTATGTATGTACTCGGTTTCGCTTTTCACCATTTTCTATTTCTATGAATTCTGTAGATATATGACATGCATTTCTATATATACTTCTCAATCAAGCCTTTCGAGTTCGAAATCTAGATCTTCTCATTGTTCTTCGCGTTTTTATTCGTGCTTTAAATGCACGAATTGTTGCTTTACGAAAGACAAAATCGTCACTAGTCAGGCGAATTTACGATGTTCAGTCGTTTGCTAGTAATGATATCGCGATGTTTGATACATCAGTTGGCAATTAGCTTTCAATATTCATTCGATGAATCCTGATAAGTAATGAGAAATATTCACCATTTAAAATTGGAAATTCATAGAATTGAAGGAAATAAATTGGGATTCAGTATTTAGAACACCTACATGAGGATTTTATGTGTCAGTCTTAGTAACTTCTTCGGTGGGGTTGGGTGTCCCAGTGTCTTGAACCATACACATTGTAGAATATCTTGAATTCTTCCGAATCCTGCCTTAATTATTGTTGAGTTTCCAATTTTTGGATTGTCATTACTACTGTAGACGTCGAATTTTTTCAAGCTCCAAGATAATTAAAACAAATACAGAAACCGAACTTAGTTGTCACTCACTCATTTCTCTTACATGCAAGACGCCTCTATGAGAATAATTATCACTGTTTTTATGCGAGATATTGATATTTTTTGATAACTCCCATTCTCAGCTTCGCAATTCCCTTCACAATCGACTGGAACTCGACTGATATCTACTTTTCTTTTTCCATACAAAAATCGTTAACACTATCTATACATAATTATCGAATTTATTTTAAAACTAAAATTGATATCTATTTAACCGAGTTTTTATCATAAGAATTATGTAGACAATAAAGTACAGGTTTCAATCATTATAGAAATTAGTAACTATCTCAGATAAATTTTTTCCGCGCATGCTCATTGGAAAAAAAGCACGTCTTAGAATAAAATTTGGTAAATACATCGTACGTTATGTAACATTGGGAATGTATGGGTTGAATTTAGTATTCATTGTGTTTGTCTGTTGTTTTCTGAAAGTGAATGATTACTATTGTTTCAGTCTAATTCAAATTGACAATAATTTTTCTTAAGGTTTGAGACAATAATATCTTAAGGTCGATCAATATTAAGCAAACTTTATTTCAATGAAAACGTATCAAGGCATTTCATCTTGTTATTATTAATCGAAGTTCTCAACGAGTTGTGAAACAATCATTAATCAAGAAATGATCTAGAAAAGAAATATACGTCTAAAAATATATCAGTTCAGTGCTTTCAATTAAGAGAGTTATATGTGACGATACACGCAAAATAAAATGATAAATAAATTACTTTTGAGCCGAAATAATATGCATCACGTAAACTCTTATGAATGATGAATATTCTGACAAGAGTTCGTGCTGTTAATTGATTTCTATCAATCAACTTGAAATTTCGTACAGAGATGAATCTTAAATAGACTAATTTATAGTGTAAGTTTCAAATCTTTTTACCATTCCTATCTTAAGATGTACTTATGATAAAAGTGTGTCTTTTATATCACTCATATATACACCTAGATTCGATGTTCTAAAGTCAGAATAGAAACAAATTAAATTGCCTTAAATTTTCACTACAAATTATTCTATTAAAAGATTTACTCTATGCAAAATTTCAAATCGACACGCGCGACAATTAGTTTTCTCCAAAGATCATAGCTTTGATCGAAAAAACTCCTTTGAAAATGTAATATTTTGGTAGTAGTAAGTTAACAGCAAAAACTCTGGTTAGAATACTTATAATCCATCACAATCAACATTATATACTTTGTTTCGTTTCAAAAGTCATTAATCAGCTTGAAGGCTTTTCTCGTGAGATACATCTATAATATCAAATATTTTGTTTTAATGTGCATTTTTCTTTGTAAGAACTCACGACCTAAGGTCCAATATTAAATGAGTAAAAGTAAAAAAATCTACTGGTCAAAAGGATGTTGAAGGCTCATTCATTTCTATACAAAATATTTTTCATTAAATCAAAGATTAAGGCAACAACACAGGGTTATTCAAAATAATATCGAATTTAATATTTGTCATTATTTTCATTGAAACTCGACAATGTTCGATTTCAATTATTTCATTCATTTAGTTATTCAAACTCATGAAATCAAAAAATATGCATTGTGAATATCTATTCTCTATATATGTTCATCATGAAATTTATAAGCTAAAAAATTTTTCCAAAAGTTTAAATATATTTCATTTTGTATAATCAAATTTGTATTTGGTAGATAAAGTACGCCATATATTCAATAGATTACATATACCAAAAAAATCGTACATAGATGTTTTTCTTTTTTTTATCACTAAATAAAATTCGATATTTTATTTAATTATATTTTTATTACAGTAGAAAATATTAATAGAAATTTACTTTTTTTTGTTTTTTCTATCTATGAACTTTTAAAATCTTCTACATGAATTGAGATATATTATTTAAATTAGACTTTGCCATGTATATGGTATTCAAATAGAGGCAGGAAAAGGCGTTGTTTTTTTTTTTGTTTCTTGTTATTATTAACATATGCACTTCCCACCAGCGATATCTATATAAAATCTTGAAGCAATGAATAAATTAGGAATATTTTTACATGATGTATTCAAAAACTGAAAAAGAAACATGATTATTATATGCTCATTAAAAACATCAATGAATTCTTATCATGCTATTAAGAATCTCTTCAGTGAATTATATAGAGCGTAATATAAGCAAAATATTTTCAAATACAAATACATATTGATAGAAACATACCACTAAAAGAAAGTTTCTCATTCAATTATAAACTAAATTTAGGAGTTTGCGATAAACAAATTATTGCATAGCATTCATTGGTTTAAAATCATGAACCCAAGTACATAACTAAAACAGAATTTGCAAACAAAATTTGACATATCTAAAATCTAATAACATATAAGACTTTGTTGTTTGATCTTTCCGTTTTGATATTGACCATGTTATATCGACGTATTTTCTTTGAATCTCTTAGTTATTCGACAAAGTTCTATTGTAAATGATTATTGTTTCTTCGCATGCATAACTTACTGCTTCCATGTTGTTTATTTATTTGACCTTTATATTTCTTTTCTTTAAATTTCCCAAAAGACAATAAGTCCTAGAATTTATACTTTCTAACCAATTACAATCTGCTAATAGGTTAGAAAAGAAGTATCCATAAAACCGTAGGTTCATTTGCGAGATTTTCATAATACGATAAATATATATTTTTTTTTCTTTTGACGTTTACATACACATACACAAATAGATACATGTTTCCAACAAAGAGAAGAAAAACGGGTTACATGACAAACGATATACAACAACCAATATGTAGTAATAGAACAATATAGAAAAGAAACCGGTCAATGACAAGAAATTTAGTTTTTCTTTTTTGTATTTTTTTTTAAAGATTTTTCAAAAGACAGGGTATCACAGAGATATAGACAAAGGATTAAAACGTAAAACACACATATGACAATAACATATTTAAAAAAAAAGAAAAGAAAACGAAAAAGAAAAAGAAAACTCGCATGCAATTTTATTCTTTTTTTTTGCCAATTTTATTTAATCGTGAAATATCTTTCACAACTATTTATAAAATAAAATACTTTTCTTGAATTCTGTTTTTATTTTCTTTTTCTAATAATTAATGATTTCGAATCATACGTATAATTTCGGAATCAGCAGATTGAGCTGCACCGGAAAAAAATAAATTTTCAATACCTTTTATACACCAGCCTCGAATAGGTGGCATACGAAGAAGTAATTTAGCAAAACGAGCAACATCATCACTATGAAATTTTTTGCAATAAGTTGCTAATGACATACAAATTTTTTCGCGTAATTCAGATACACGTGTTGTATCGGCAACATCTTTCGCATCTAAAAAAAAAGAGCAACAATAAAACTAGATTGTTTTTCTAAGATTTTTATCTTCATACCAGGATCATAAAGAAAAATAGCCTTAAGACATGTTATTTCAACTCTGTCAACATTTAATTCACGTAATATTGTCACAACATCATGATATAGACGAGTAATAAAGAATTGAAGAGATTGATCAACAGCTGTATGTGGTCGAACATATGAGCCATCCTAGAGGAAAATAATTATATATTTTTTTTTTAATGTTTAGTCTAAATAAAATTCGATGAAAATAAATAAGAGTGTTGCTCAAAATTTTCCTACAAT